TTCAAGTCAGAAACACAAGTGTTTGGTGCCAAAACCAAACACGGAACAGTCGAGTCGAGAGATCTTGAGGCAAGGCGCGCAGCCAAGACTTTCGGGAACTCAAGACGAAACACAAACAAAGAGGATCACCGAGTATTCCAATGGTGACGTCCAAGTCTTGAGGACGGTTAAAAATGGGGTGTCTACAATACCTTTCTAATTTTTCCTTATTTGGGTGGCTATTATGCAGCTAAATGGGTCCATTTTGGAGCCCATTTTGATAATCCGAACAATTTATATTTTATTAAAACTTTAATACTTTAAATCACAAAACTTTAATACTTTAAATCACAATTATTATTTATTTTTGTAAATACAAATGTGAGTGGATGAATGGGTAAATGATATTCGATTAACTTGATTTTTTTGCAGACATGTTCTACTTGATGTATTCTAAAATGTGAACGGTCCGGATTATCAAAATGCTTCTTTGTGATTTGATCTATCAGCAAAATTCATAAACTACAAAATCCACCACCTCTTCTTCTTCTTCTTTCTGTCTCTCTGAAAACTAGCAAACTCATCACCTCTAAACTTTTCTCCCTCTAAAAAGTACCAACCCACCACCAGTGATCCTCACTAATGCAACACATTTTTAGATTCGTGTCGACAAGATGGATCGAAAAAGTAACAAGTTTTGACATAACTTTGAAAAAAAAATCATTAAAGACAAAAAAAAATCGAAAAAATATGTGAATTCTTTTTTTTAAGGTTGCCATCAAAAAAGCACAAAATAGATTTTGATTTATATATTTTAAAAATTTAATAAATTCAATTGATAATTTAGACATTAAGTAGACAATAATTCAAAATAAAAAGTGTAATAAACTCATTTAAATTTAAATTGGCAAAAAAGATTACAAATGAATAGAGAATCTTTTCAAATTACATCAGAAATGACATGCATAAAAATTATTACCGAGACATATACAGATTTGTGAGTTGAATGTACCAAATCACCTTCTTCTTTTTCTTCACTCTTCTTTTTCTCTTCCTCAAGTCACTCTCACTCACATAAAAAATTATTGGTTAGTTTTCAGCGTTATGTGGTCATATTTTTTACAAATCATAATTTACTATATCCACTCATGTTACTTAATCACTTAACATAAATTCGTAAACTTGACTTTCTCTATCAATTACAACACTGTTGGGGTACTACTTGACGGTATCCCAAGATCAACCAATAACTTCTTCCCCCACACTCCCTCTCTCCTATCAACTAATCAACTCATTACACATTTATTACTTCTCCAACATGTTGATGTGGTACTCCAACTTGGTTTTGAAACAGTGAAACCTATCATCTTTTTGTCTCTTTTTAGGAGACAACTAAATACTTGTCTTTCAATGAATTGTGTAGAGCAATACTCCATAACCAACAAATAACTTATCTTTTGTCACACACTTGCCCAAGCAAAGCCTCATATATTTATTTTATTTTAATAATATATACAATTTTTAATATATAAATTCAATTTTTATAAAATTAATATCATTAAAAAAATATCAACATTAAATATATTTAAGAAAATTTGCACAATAAAAAACTCACTATGGTTGGAGCATTTTCAAATTTTTATTTGTAAATATAAAAACTAGTTTGATAAAAATAAATACAAAAATATATTTTAAAAATTCTCAAAAATTAAAAGAAAAATAATGTACAAATGATGTTTTCTTTTGTTTATTTATTTTGAAAAATAACCAATGAATCATAAAAAAATAAAATTTCACTGATCCAAGTCGGAGAAATTTCACTAAAATCAGTTAAATGTCACTGTAATTGACTTTGAGTTTCATTGACAAAATTACTTAGAAAAATTTCAAAATTGCTTATTTTCTCTTAGAGAAATTTTATGAATTGCTTATTTTCTCTCAAAGAAATTTTAGAAATTAAACAATTGAGAAGTCAGCAAAATTTCTTTGACTTTTAGCTAGAAAAATCAGTGAATTTTTTTTTTTTTTTTTTCAAAATTTCATATTCATCATGAATCTTGTTTGATAAATCTCAATGAGATGATTCCAAAAATATAAATTTTTACAAAATACGAAGTTTCAAATAAAAAGTTATGAAATTTTAAAGTTATGAAATACATTCCAAAAATACAACTAGTCTACAGTAAAGAGAGAATGTGCTGAAATTTTGTGGTACCAAATGTTAAAAAGGGCATTCTTGACATTTATATTGAAGTTTGTCCTTATCTTCATAGAATTTCAAATCTTAGGGATTTTACCTAGTAAACAAATTGTGATTGTTCTTAAACTCTTACATAAATATGGAGAGGGATACCTTCCTTATTTTCCTTTATTTGGAGTGACTGCTGTGCAGTGAAATGAGCCCATTTTGAGACTCATTTTGATAATCCGAACCATTCACATTTGATAATACATCAAATAGAACATATTTGCAAAATCAAGTTAATCGAATTTCGTTTATTGATTTATCCACTCACATTTGTATTAATTTTAATACTTTAAATCACAATTATTATTTATTTTTGTAGATATAAATGTAAGTGGATGAGTGGGTAAACGATATCCGATTAACTTGATTTTTTACAGAGATGTTTTACTTGATGTATTCGAAAGTGTAAACGGTTTGAATTATCGAAATAAATATTTTTAATCTAAGTAAAATAATATTTGAAAAAATTAATAAAACATCTGTTCAACTTTTAACAATAAAAGAGGTATAATATATTTTTTTTCTTATTAGTTAAGTTCCTTCAATAATGTTATTAGGTAAATTTTAATTCGTCATAGAAAAATCTCACAAATTCCTCTATAACAACTTGAAATTTCTCTGTGAAATTTCTTTTTGAAGAGTCAAAAATTTTTTGTGAAAACAAATTTCTTTGTAAAGATAAATTTTGGTGCTAAAATTTCCCCGTGCTAAAATTCCTATGAAAAAATGTTGAGAGACCCCAATTATTATGAAAATATTAAATATCATTTATCTTATAAAATCTTAATATCAGTTATTAGAAAAAGAAAACAAATCCAAATCTGTGAAAATTTTAGTAATGACATTTCACAAAGAATAGTTTATTAACTGCTATGAATAGATGCAAAATGCTTCTCATAAAAGCTAGCTTTTAAGATAAATTAGTGGTAAATCTGTTTAGTACAACTTTAAACAAGCTGTGAAAAAACTAAGAACTTGTTTGGTGAACAAGCTGTCAAATAGCTTTTTCGCTGCATAATTGTACAAAATACCAATGCCCAAAAGAATTACATTAACAACCATTTAACAGAGTATGGTCTGGACTGAAAACTAGTAATCTTAGTGTAAGAATAAAACGGCAAAAACAATAAAAATTAATAACAAAGGAACAGATATATAAAAGTAATAATTATAATGATGAACCACACAATGAATCTTTCACTTCTCTTTTTCTTTCTTTTTTTTGAGGGGGATGGCGCATCATAACTTAATTAAGGCAGAGCCATATGTTAGGATAAGTTAACTTGTATTTTAACATTGTTCAAATTTCACAAAGATTTTTTTTAAGTATTCTAATTTCACAAAATTAGCACTTAAAAAAGTAGACAACAACACATGGGATTGTGAATGTACATTAGACACGTGACATTTTTGTTCCTTTATTTGCTCTTTTGGCCAAGTCTTCTTCATTGCTTTAGTACATGCATATTGGTTGATGCATAATATACATATTGGTTCTTAAGAGCTCCACAATCTCATGTGTGCTGTCTTAAAAAAAACCAGAGAAATAAAAGTTTGGCAATCTGGTACAGCCCAAACAAAGAAACATTAAATACCAAGAGTAATGTGAGTTCCGACTACTTAGTGATGAAACCTCTTTCTTGTCATCAATTGCGTAATATACTTCACTTTGCTTCTTGTTGGTTTTCTAAAACAATATTTAGAAAATTCTACTTTCTAATTTTTAACATTTTTTTTTTATTTTTACTGAATTTTTTAAATATTTTAAACAATTTTTTTTCTTTTTTAAATATGTTAATTAGAATTTATGTGATTTTATGGTAGGTTTAATTGGAATTTGATTTGGAATGGTTAAATTAGATTAAATAATGTTAAATTGATTGAACCTAGTTATTTACTAAATTGCCATTGAGTGGATTGACTCAAAAACCCACCCTTATTATGCCTTATACATTTTTGATGCATTATCTTTATTTCCTCTAGAGACCAAAAACGTGAGAGAGAGCTAGAGAGTTGGAAGAAGTTGAGTTCACCTAGAATTGGCTTGAAAAATTAGAAGACTTGAAGAGAGAATTGCATAATTGAGCTTCTTTACCTTGAATTCAAGACCTAAGGTAGAGATTTCATCATCTCATTTGTACATTTGAGTTGTATATTGCATGGTTCATGGTAAATTAGAGTTTAAAGTCAAGAATTGGTTTAAAGAGTTGAATTTGAGAGTGAATTCATGCATGCATGTCTATACCATAGCATTTTGAGGTTGTTCTTCATGAATTTCCGCATGCATGTCCATGTTTTTGTTATGGTCCATGAATTTACCATGTTCTTGAGCTTAATCTTGCATTTGGTCAAGTATTAGAGCACTTAATTCATAAGAGTTCTTGCATGTTATGTTTTTACATAGTTCATGAGAGTTTCTTTGAAATTGGTGTTCAATTGGTTTACCTTTGGGCTTGATTTTACAAAATTGATCTTTGAAACATGTTGGGCTCGTTTGGTTTGATTTTCTGAAAAAAATTTGGGAAATTTTCTCTACAAATAAGTTTTCAAAAATAACCAAACCAAACAAATTTTCCCAAAAAAATTTCCCAAAACTTGTAAACCAAACAAGTTTTCCAAACAAATCTCTCTCTCACACACATCAAATCAATCACTTTTTCCAAAACTCTCTCTCAAAATCATTTTCCAAAACATCTTTTGAAAAAAACCAAACCAAACAACTTTTCGTACTTTGTCTCTAAAACACATCTCTCAAACACAAACCAAACATACC